ATAGTTAGAGTCAATAGTTAGAGTCTTGTTCGCAATCGTCTAAAATCCTTCTCCAATATTCGCTCCGTATAATAGGGTGGCAATTTAATAGGGAAGGGGGCAGTGGACAATCCCCACTGTCCGGGTCTCGAACGTAGTCACCTCCACGCGGTGAGACCTGGGTTGGTAGCGTTTTCAAAGACTTTGAAAACGGTACCAAGCGAAGAACTACGATCTAGTTTAAGAATCTCTGTATTTGTATGTTAAATTATATATCAGTAACTTAATGTATGCGCTAATAAATATTGCGATAAGGCAAATATCTGATTTCCTTTGGATTAACAAATAAATGGATGAAACGAATCTTGGCATTTTTATTTTAAAATCCTTTTTTCGGGCCGCGCGTTAACACAGGCGTTGCCACTCTTTAGTAATCTCTCCTCGGTGGTACAAGCGTTTACCTAGTTACCATCCTATTACATTTTCTCTGAATTCCTCGAACACGTTTGTCGTCGATAACGATTAAGGATTGGCACACGGATGGCAGGTTTCGTTCTTTATTTTCACAAACGGGAAACGAGGAAAATCGAGAAACGAGGAAAGGCCGAGATTAAGGTGAGTAATGTGGCAAGGTGGGAGATTGAAAAAAAATGGTACAGAACGATCTACAGACCTTGAGAAATACTCCGAGAACCGCAAGGCCATCGGGTGCTTTCGCGGCTTCCGCGAAGGTGTTGTACTTGCTCGTGTTCCAGTGCACCAAATGTAGCTGCAACAACAGAGAAACTATTTGCAAAAATTCAATATACAATTTATAAGTCGTTGATAGACAATGTTTGTGCGAAGTAGAATATTTATGATAGTTTCAGTCATCAGTTTGAAAGATGTGTTTCAGATAAACATTTATTTTATCATTAGAATATTGACGTATGCATTCGGCATTTAATATTCTGCATAACTTTGTATATTGTACGTAGCATTCATAATTTTTGCATATTCTGTTTTCTTATAAATGCATAAAATCTGCTGCTTAGTTACACACTTCAATAGAAAAAATTTGCGCAATGTTCAATACGTGATTGCCATGAAAAGTTCTAAGAATCACACAGTGGATATTGCAAACAAACTTTTTGTTGTATAGTGCTATTAACAGACTGCGGATTTCATGCATTAAATTAAATATATAGAAAATATTAACAATGCTTCTGATGCTATAAAAATAAATGGAATATCAACAGCTAGACATTTTTATCAATTTCTCAAATTGATACCAGAAATGATTTATTTGACATAAAAAAAACTTTGCAGCCTAATTACTAAAGATCAAATTGATCAGCTTTATCTCGTATGAGTACTAAAAAGCAAATACTAAGATTTGCCCCGAATTAATTCCTTGAAACTTGTGTCATGTGATACTGATAAAGTGTTGGAAAATATATAACGGAGCTAGTATGTCATCGATCAATATTAGTAGAAAATTAGTCACTGCAAATTTGAATTGCAGTTTTGAAAACAGTCGAGTATAATCAAACGAACACGTGAATAAAATGACTTGTTCTTTCATCATGCCTCATTTATGTACTCTATGAATGAAGTGGCAGCCTGCCGTAAAAATCCTTACCCAATAGTAAATTATCTAATCAGAATCGAGTGAACTGCTTGGTCATTTACTTATCTAAAGATTTTATCATCCTCCAAAATAAATAGAGTCAACATGCTGCCAGTCACTAGTTAACTAATTGCATCGGTCACATAACCGGTTTTTTTTATGAGAAATAGAAAGAAATTTGTTTTGTCATA